TGAAGTCATAAATGACAGGGCACCGCCAGTGCTACAAAGACTGGAAAGGCAGGACATGGAGCAAAAAAATGTTGCTGAACCAAATGGCCCCCTCACCACAGTTGTCTGGGAAAACCTTCCTGTTCTCTGTGTATTTTTACAGCTGTGGTACATGTAGTCTTGAAAGTTTTTACGGGTTGTCTTGAAGGTAGTCGGATTTAGCGTGGGTGCTGGAAACAGGAGTTACTATTTTCCTCTGCCTTCTTCAGTTACATAAACCAGGCCAGGACAAAGTAGATTTTAGAACAATAATGTTAAAGACAGCATTTAAAAATCATTTTGCACCATTTGTTGGCACTTACACGCTATGCAGAAGAAAATGGTCCTCCGTGAGCATTACTTCATATAAGCAATACTCATCTTACCTTGAAGAAGAGCAGGAGAAACAACCACAAGTTTAGTGATGAAACACATTTGTACCTGTAAAAAATTTGCAGTGTGACTGTACCTGCTGAAAATGCTTTTTAGCATTGAAGTCTGTGGATGCAATGCAAACCAAGTGGGTAATAGGAAGAACCGCATATGATTATGTGGGATCATTCAAGTAGTGATAGGTGTGATTCCTGTTCAGTGGTTTGGAAGAGCTTGTACTGAATTTTAGCATGTCTTCCTTTGAGCAGCATGCAATAACTCATCCTAAAATGGCCAACTCTCAGAAGCAGACTGTAAGTCACGTTTTCAGATGTCTTAAATCATCTTCTGTTCGCCTGACATCTTACAATTTTCCTGCAAACTAGAGTTACCACAAAATTAAAAATTCAGTCTAGGAAAACTTTCTACTTTGCTAGTTTTGATGTACAAGTATACATTATGTTCATACCTTTATCCTCGGTGAGTGCAGTAAGTACCAGGCTTTAGGCTTTGGTAGCTAGGGGCAGGCACCTGCATGGCAAGCACTTTGCAGGGGCTGGAGAAGGGAAACTTCACGGCTGCTCCCGGCCCTTTGGTCAGCCTGTGCCAGGCTCGGTGAGCTGGCAGGACACTGCTGTCCTGGGGGCTGATGCTCCCGGGGGTACCCATGGCCTTGGCAAACCTCGGTGGGGATGGAGGAAGCAGTCCCAAAGAGCTCTCTGTGTCACAGCTGTCTTTTTCTTCTCCCAGCTTTCCCCTCCGCTAAAAAGTTTGGGATAGGCTTGTGATGTCTCTCAGTCTCATGTAAGACAGGGATATACCAAAAATCAGAAATGAGAGGCAGAGAGCGGAAGAAGTGGAAATTCTTGAACATTCCAGAAGTAATAATTGCTCTAAAAATAGTCACTTTCTGCATGAACAGACGAAAGAGGAGAATGAGGCCAGTGTTTCTGCTGGGTTTTATTTATTAAATTGTGCCTCTTCAGTATCTGGGATAATATGGCCATATAGCCTCTTCTTGAACCAGCCAGTCCAGTTACCAAACCAGACCTCCCCAGTGAAAGGGCTTAAGCCCAGCCCAGTTGCACTCCTACCAACTGTGGTTCCATTTCTCACCCTTGCGTTGGTCCACACTTGCACCCAGCCTAAACGTCGCTGGGATGCAGGCACCGATGGGCTGACACGGGGTCGTACGACGGGCCTCGTGGAGGGGATATGGAACAGAGAATGACACTCTCCTCTAAACTCCAGTGCTCCCTTCTCAGTATTCCTGCGTCCTGCTTTTATGACACACAGGCAAAATCCCAAGTGGTTGTTGATTCAGATAACGTGAATATTTAAGGAGACCCATATATTCATTAAATGGAAACTTCATGAATAAATAACAAAACCAAAAGGGATTAAATAGTATTAATACTGTATCTATAGATAGTCTACAGGTAACAGGCAGCTGAACCACTGTGTGGGGAATCTGATTTAAGCAGCATGGGATTTTCAGCTGCTATTCCAGGATGCAACTCCTTATCCTACCAAAATATTTATCTATTCAGCTTCTCACTAGAAACTCTTAACACATTTCTTCACCCAGAAAAGCTTTGAATGGCAAAATTGTTAAAAGGAGGTATGATGTTTAGTCATTTTGTGGTCATCGTCCCTAAATCATTGATTTTCCAGTGTACACTCAACGTCTTCCCCTCTATCATGGTTTGCTTGAAAACAGTATTTACTATATATAAAAAAAGTATATACTTTTAATTATAACTATTATGAAAGCTTTGAGTAGCAGTACAGTGCAAGAGTATGTGCTTTAGCATAGCACTGTGTTGAAAGAAAACCACAGAAGTCTGTGCCTGGGAGTTTTTCATGTGCAGTATGAGTAGGTATCTGTCCCACCTGTTAGAGTTAGCTTATGGCATTTCTCACCTTTATCCTTGCTTTGAATTTTTGACAATTTGAGACTTTCATCTTTTCTTTGTTTTCTTATTTTAAGTTTCTTTAATAATGTAATGTGCTCATATTTGTTTTGGATCCTTTTAGTTGGAAGTATCCCAGAACTGTAACACCAGTCTCACCTGTGAAGCAAAATTTTCCTTTCTATTCCTCCAGAAGTCATAAAACAATTGCAGGTTAAACAAAAATGAACTTTAGGTGTATACGGCAGGTCTTCCTGATATACTGGCAGTTATCTTTCACAGACATCCTTTCTGAGCCGACTTTGCTTTACATCATCTCATGGCATACTGGATGGCAACAACAAACACCCATCTGTTCACATGTTCTTAGGATGGCTGCCCATGGAAAGGAAATCCCCATAGATAAGAAACTGCATCAAAGCAGAGAACAGCCAAATGAATGGAAAATAACCCTAGATCCACTTTATCTTTGCTGCAAACCAAGTCAGCATAGGACTGGTGCCAGTAGCCCACGTCTATTACCAAATGAGAGACAGCATTGCATGTGAAAGGGCTCCCCTGTCCAACACAAATGCTCTTTTCTCATTTAATTCACTATTATTTTTCCACTCACTCCCTGACAAAAAAACTGTTCAAACATGCCCACTTTAGGGATGGGTTTAAGTGTAAGAAAGGCCAAGGCTCCCGCTGACTGCTTTTACAATAAGATGCACCCTGGACTCAGCAGTATCTTAGCTGGAAGATGCCCTGACTCTTCACGTTCAGAACAGATCTGTACAAATAATCACTCTGAAGATTCTTCTGCCTATAATTCCCCATGACCATTATTTGCTTTTCATTTTTCACAGCAATTCTATTCACGGACATGAAATAGCAAAGCATAGTTCTTCAGCTGGCAGGAAGGAGACACCTGAATAGATACATTTCTTTATTGAAACTTCAGGGGTTTGATCCCCAAAAAATCCATATGCTATTTGGCGTACACCTTTTCCTTACCTTATCCAGCATCACTGGGAAGGATGGCAGGACATATCGCTGTCCAGGCATATTTAGAGCAAGCAGCTGCCCGACAACAGCAAAGAAATTTCCCAGGATTTGATCGGAGTTGCTCTTTCCCCAAGTGTAGACTGCAGCATCAGGAGGAATTAGTAGGCCCCGTGAACCTCTACCTTCATGGCTCATTTTAAACTCCCTTTATGCATAAATTTTGTAGTAAGATTGTTACAGCTCCTCGAAGATTAATCTATACTTGATTAATTCTCTCATCTCTCCTTGAGGCATTAGCTGCTTCAGTGCCTCTCTTCTGTGTCAATTATCACACACATTGTCATTTTGGCTACCCACAAAGAGCCTTACCAGCTTTGTGATGCTTTCCTCCTCACTTCTGAAATATAGAAAAGACATTTCCCAAATCCTCTCCTTATTTTCCTTTTTATGTGTTATTTCTCTGCATCTGAACAGCCTGGCCTCATTAAGAGGTGTAACTGCACAGACAGGTATCAGTCAGTAACAGTGAACAATGAAAAAAACTGTTCAGAAGACCAGTTTATCTCAGTTCAGTCAGGTTCTTGATCTGCTCTGGACTCACCACACTGCACAAGAGTGCTCAACGACATAAAACATACGTGACGAAGTCTGTATGTAACTGAGCCTACAGAGGTTAGTTGTAGTGCAGGTGTTGCAGTGGTCAGGGGAGCACTCTCAACATCCAAAACAACTTATTTTTACAGCCACACTCCAGTAAAGTTTATGCAGTGCTGTGGAAAAATCACAGTTTATTGTAACTGCAGCGTGGCCATGAAAATGAGGGGTTTTTTGGATGTTCAAAGTCCTTTTCTACTGTGTTGCATAATTTCACTGGGGAGCAATAAATTAGGTATCTTTTGGGAATGCCCAACACCATCTGAGTAAAAAAGTTGCAGCTTTCCAAATAAATAAACAAATACAAAATTGTACACGAGACACAAAAATAACCTCTTAATCAACAGTTTGGCCTATCATGATGCTCGGCACGTGCTAACAATAGCTCCTGGCAGGGTCGCCCTCCAGTTCCCTGTGCGTGCCAGAGCCTGGCTGTGAGAGAGATCTTTATTGCTGCTGCTAGCCAGATCAAATCTAGCAAAGGTGTGCCTACCTCTCACCAAAGCTTCACTCTCTGTACAAACACCTTAAGACAAAAGAAACATACTGAATTGAAAGGGACTGGGGAAAAGAAATCCCTGCCAAGTCAAAGGACTCAAACTCTGGGGAGATTTGGGGTTCTGCCGGCGTTTTCACCCCTTTCACACCCGTAGTGCCCACTTCTCCGGGGAGGTGAGGGGGTTTGCAGTGTGTTGCTCCCAGAAATGTTCTCCCTGAACGAATCCTTCCTGTAGCTTTACGGCACGTGTCAGTCAGACATGCCCAAATACACGTTCGCAAGCCTCATAACAAGCAAGCAATAATTTCATAACCTGCAGATGTCAAGAACCAAGACAAAACAATACAGCACACACCAGTTGAATGTGGTTAACTAAGTTGCTTTTAGTTTATTAATTTTACTCATATACACAGTTGATTTTGAAAACACCATGTGAAAGAGCCAGGACAAAGTGTAACGAAATGGTACAGGAAAAGATTTCAATATGCAATGTGCCAGTGTACCTACTGTGTTTTATATATACTTTACATTGAAAACCAAAAACCCCACAGTTTTCAGAGGAAGTACACATTTTATTTTGAACTGGCAAATTTAGTTTATTAATACGTAAAAAAATAAATCTACAATAGCAACAGTGCAAACACATCAGAACTTGCATGGCATACAGAACACAAATGAATAAAAATTATTATACAAAGGGCCCAATGTTTCCGATGGTACTGGCTGTGACATGGACAACAAACGACAGGGTGAGGAATAAACTGCAATGTAAACAGGAAGATGAGCTGCATATTACTGGTTCTGCCTTGTACGGTCTCTCTATTTCAGGGGGTAAAGCTGTCATGCCTTGGATCTGCAATTGAAAGAATAAAAAATTATCAGAGTTTTATTATGTAAGACTAGAAATCTGTATTTTGCTCTCTAACTAGTTGGCAGCTTGCATGAGAATCTACTGTTAGTTTTGTACTGGGGTTGCAACTCTTACTGTGGAGACATCAAGCTCAATAAAAATCTTAATATATTACATGCCAAATGATCAGCCAGTGTGCACGTCCATTGTTCCCCGCTCGGCAACAGCTGTACACACTGGCATCCTCTCCAGTAAAGCAAGGTTAAGCTTTTGTTGGTTGATTTGTATGACCTTGTTTTGCTTTGTGGGATTGCTTGGTTGGTTTGGTTTTTGTTTTTGTCCTTCTGGCAGATCAAAATGGACGATCACAGTGTTACAGTGCTATAGGGATATTGGATGATATTTGAACACGTTAATTTGCATGTACAAGGCAGTTAACTCTGTACACATTGTTTCATGGAATCACAGAATGGTTGAGGTTGGAAGGGATCTCCGGGGGTCAACTGGTCCAATGTCCCTGTTCAAGCACGATCACCTACAGCAGTGTCATATATCTATATATTGAGCATTTTTCACTCTTCCCTTAGAATTCAGTGCAATTTTTATGGAGTTGGACATAACTACCTGCCTGTCATGGTTTTGATGTGAAATTAGAGAGATTTGGGTACACTGCTTGGCTATGCTTTTCCTAAATGCACTCCCTACATGTTAAAGAAAAGAAGCTCTGCAAAAAGTGAGCTCCTGGGCACAAATACTTTTGAAAATTTGAACGCCCACCTGCACAGCATGTGCTTGCTTTGGGGTTTTCCCATGTTGCAATTATCCTGCACTGCAGAAAAAAAACATCTAAATATTGACTTAATCTTAGCAAAAATAACACAAAGCTAAAACTGATCAAGGGACCCTCCCTACAGAAGGATGAAGGTATTTTCAACTCATTTCCTCTGCTTCAAGTTTTTTCCTTCCTGTAACAGCTCCCTGATTGTTTGACCATCCAGGTTAAATCTGCTCTTCATTTTGATGGGGATGGCCAATTTAATGCAATATCACTAATAAGGGAAGGGAAAGGAAAGGGTCCTAATCTTAACTTTGATTAATATACCCTAGTCATTTGAAATAGGAAACTATGACTATAAGGAAGAACTAAGCACTCCCAGTTCCAGTGAGCTCACTCTTTGACTACATTCCTTAAGTTGTAGGTATCGTTCCTTCATCCTGTAAGATAAAGGGGAACAGCATTTTCCAGAAAGCATACCATTTAAAAAAAAAGAAATCTATCCCCTCTTGATAAAATTTCTGTGTGCTTTTTATCCCCTTAACTTGTCGTCTGACAAATAACCAGTGAAAGAGTGGCTACGCAGCTGCTACTGGTCAGCAGTACCAAAGGTCAAGAAGTTTAACCAAAACTGGTGAATAATAACAGGTACTGTCAATAACTGCTTTTCACAGAAGGTCTGCAGTGAGACAAATATTACAAGAAACCAAAACCTCTTTGATTACTTATAGCACACAGTATTTCATTGACATCCCATGGGCAGAACAGTCTGATTGATGTTGGAAAGACCTGAGAACGCCGCTGCACGAAGGGGAATTCCTCCACCACCTGAAAGCAGCGTGTGACCCGCTACCAGGCAGCGTGGGCTGTTTTGCGGGGTGAGGAGAATGAGGCAAAGGACCTTTCCTAGGAAGCATTTCATCAGTAGTATCTTGTATCAGCTCTGTTAGGCTGGCCTAAAATCAGGACAGGAGATAAGCCAGTACAACAAGATGATCTCCCCTTCTGAGCAGAAAAGCTCAAGAAAGTAGAATGGAGTCTTGAATTTGGACTTTGTAAAGGAGTTCAAGGAGCAATATAAATTTTTCAGCATCTCCTTCAGGGATAATACTAGTAGTTCTTTAGAAACACACATCAACACTAAAGATGACAGCTTTTCCCAGCAGTCCTGTCCAGTAGACATTTAGAATAAATAATAACTTACTGGGGAATTCTTTTTTATATTGCAGTTTTTTTTCATCAAGAGATTTGGGAAAGGAAAACTATAGAAGACAAAGGAAACAGACAATCCAAATGTGCTTTTTTTGGCCCAATACTATAGACATCTCTAAGACACAAGACCAACAAAAAAGTAAAAGATATTGGAAGAGTACTCATATAACTTTAGGTAGTCTAGATGCCTGAGTTAAGAAGTTAGATTCCTGAGGCTTCCATATGCAGTCAATAAGCTTCCCCCTACAGAGTGACTCAGAGAAGAAACCTGACTTAGGGATTCTGAATCATCCATCGCAAGACCCCAACGTAAGTCCCTGACAAAGGAGGCACCCAAGGGTAAACAGGTTCCTAACTTGGTGACCTAATCTGGACACACCTGGTCACTCTCTGCTCAATCCCAGGCACACTGAAAGACTCCATACTCCTGTTACTGCTGATCAAAGCTCCAACTTTTCTATTCTTTTCAAATAATTCTAGAACTCAAGTTACTTGAAAGCATTGATAAAACATTCTCATAATTTGTTATTGTATGAAAATGTAATACAGCTGTGTAAACAGTCTGAAGACATATAAGCAGGTACTTATTCATATGCAATGAAGCACAGTAAATCACATCTGTTTCATGGCATTGTTACCTCCTTTTCAACACTTAGACTTACCGACCATTCTGCATTATCTGTTTTTGAACATCTCACGTTCACCGGTAGTTTAAGCACAAGTTCATTATAGGAGAGACCCTCCGATCTGGACCATTTGAATTTATTCATCGCATCCATAAAAGACAGGTTTTTATATTGCTTAGGACTCTTGATAATGAAAGGCCAAGTCCTAAAGAAAAATAAATAAATAGATCTTAAAAAATAGATCAATACCATCAAGCTGGAACTGATGCAGAAAAGCCTTTGGAGAATCTACTCAGAAAAACAAATGTGCTATTAATATGTATATTATGCCTAACACATTCTCAGAAGTTTGCTGCTACCGAAAACTGATGCAGTTTCATTGATTTTAACAGCCTTATGAAAGGTTGTCAGCAGTTTAGTACTTGCTGCCAGATGCTTTTAGAAATGAAGGACTTTAAGAAAAAAAAATTGCATTGCTGTTCTCCGATCTACAAACTGAATACACAGACAATACAAAACAGATCTTTTGTTGTAACTTCTCAAAAAAACTAAACCAAACAAAAAAAGCCACACTCTCTACTAGGCTTGGCAGACAGTGCTGCAGCGACATTTGCCATTAGAAAGCTGCTTCCAGATGGCTCTGCCAAGTTTTGGTCGTAACTCAGATAATAGGTCAAAACTCAGCCTGGCACAGGAGTTGCTCTAACATGCATCGGTGCCAAAAGATCAAATGAGAATAAGTGGCGTTGTGGACATGGCCTTTTGGCATGTCTCTACGTGCTGGCTGCAAGGGGATTTTGGCCAGGGGTGGGATAGAGATCCGCTGTGCTGCTGTGAGAGATGTGACTATTTGCCCACGTGTGGGAATCCTCCCCATGAACATGTGGGGCCAATCCCATTCCCCACCAGTCAAAGATGTGGAAAGGGAAGGAATGAGATTTCTTGCCTTTCATGTAGTAAAGAAAACTAAAAAATTATAATGAAGGAAAATAAAAAAAAAAAAAAACACAAAACAAACAACTAAAGAAAACTTTTTCCATTGTTCTTGCTTCCTCCTTGTTTGACTCTACTGGGATGAACCGAAACAACATGGTGGACGGGTCAAGTTTTTAAAAACACAAAGTCCAAATCAGCTAGTGGAAGAATGAAAGTAGCTAAAACTTTTATCGAAGTATCCTAATTAATACTTTGGTTGGAGCACGAGTTATCTTTTCAAAGCACTTTACACAGATCTGTGTTATCTTGCAGTAGGCTGTCTCCCACTTGCTTTGGGTAAAGTGCTGCCTATGCCAAAGTTACTCACTACTCAACATCTAGGCATGGAAGACAGAAAAAAAAAAAAGAGTTTTAAAGTGAGCTTCAGTGCCTTGATCCTGCTTCCAGTTTGCCTTCATGTGTAAGTCAAGGGAGACTTTAGAGGAGTCAGTGAAGCAATTCCAGTGTAAGACTGACACAAGAGAGATGAGTATCAGGTCACATATCCTTAGGCTGACAGAGCTTAATGAAACAAGAATTGTGGATTAGGTCATAAATACTAGAGGCATTAATAATCTCTTCTTCTAATTACTATTCCATTTGTGGCAGACAGTCTGCATACTTACTCTATTCAAAACATCTTTCTTTCCCCAGGCCAAATGTGCATTTTTTCCTTAAGTACAGTTATCATGAATGAACACTCAAGAGAGCATACATTTGTTGGAATATTTTCTTTCTAAGCTCAGAAAGACTCTTTTAGCTAGGACTAATTTAGAAACTGTGTTCTCCCTGTATTAAAAGAGACAGTAAATAGAAATAGTGTGGAAAATGAAGTAGACATTGATTGCATTGTGACTTTCTTCAAACTCTTCTGTCTTGGATATAGATTCCAGAACTAAGACGAGTAAGACTGTACATCAAATTACTTTGCAGTAAGAGTTTTATACAGTTTTGTTAAGATAAACTGTACAAGGAAAGACAACTTTCAAAATGTAAATGTGATTGTACACTATTTATCCATTTTATTTTAAAATCTTACTACTACCTTAGTTTAGTGTAACTAACAATACAAATGTAATTCACCTTTCATCACTAATAGTGCATTCTACTTTCTATTGTTTGATTGTTTTTCTGCATTTCACTTCTTTGAGAACTTTCCTTCTTAGGCTATTCTCACTGTTTACAATCACTTGCACTGCTGATCTGCTACAGAGTTGCTTTAATTTTAACCACTGTAAGGAACACTTAAAAACTGAAATATGCTATTTATTGGTTTTTATATATTCACACACATTTATCCTGTCTATAGTGGGCTTCCTCCCACCTCCTACCAAAATTTAGATTTTATGTTAGATTCTGGAAATCACTCTTGCTCTTAGTGAGCAATATCGTCGTGCAGGTCATCCCACTGACATTAAAGGGCAGAAAAGCCAGATCCAACAACACATGGAGAAGCATTTTTTTCTTACCAAGGACTCTCATGATGAAGGACAGCAAGACTTCTGCTGACTTACCAGAGAAACTGTAACACCTAGTTTAAAATTCACCAGCCTGTGGTTTAGCCCAGCGGTTCGATGTCACCTGAATTGCATGGACCTTGATGGTGGTCATTACAGATCCTGAGTTGCCTAAACAGTAACTGCCCCAACCCCCCTCCCATTCACAGAGGGGATATTTAATATTTGTGGAGCACCGAAGAACACAGATCTTAGAACAAAATTATATTATGCCTTTTGAGCTGAGCAGCGGGCCAATATTCATATTCTTTGAGGTTATTTTTTTCAGGAAGAAAAATTGATGAATAAGCTAGGGGTTTTTCTTTCTGACATGGATTTACATCTCAAAAATGTGCAGTGTCCTGCTTCCCTGAACAGTAGGACTCCAAGACTCGGAAGAGAGTGACTGTGCACAGAATTGCAAGCCCCTGCAGCCAACAGTTCACCCAAAAAACCTCTTTTCTTCCTCTTGGCTAGATTTCCACCTCTGTTTCAATGTTTTTCTCTCTACTTACCTTGCATATCATCCTCTGACTTGTTATTCTTCCAAAGCCTCCATTCTCTCATTTCTCTCCATCATGGCGCCTATCTACCATTTATTTTTTACTATGAACAATTTCATATTCTCTCAATCCCTCCATTTCCTTTCTAACTTATAACTTCTTCCCCTTTTGTGCATTTTTGTCAGTGTCACCGAGACAGCATTAAGCTCTATATGTGAGCAACAGTTTTAGGGTCTGGTTGCATGGACTGACTTCAATAGAATTACTGACAACAAAACTGCCCAGGATAATTCAATACCCGTGCTCCCAAACTCCTTTTTCAAAATTATCTCTCTATATGTGAAACACTGATACGCTGTAATAAATTGACAGATCTGAAACCCTGATATGGCATTGATACATAGTCTGTTTACAGACGGTTGTGGTGAAAAAAAAACTGCTGTGAGAAACTTTATTTCTTTAACAGAAGAAACTGCTTTTTTATTTAAAAAAATAAGAAGATGCAAAATATTTTGGCAGGAGAAATAAGTAGCAGCACAGCGTATTGACCAAAAAGAAGTGGCAGGAATGACTTTGCAATATGTTGCACTACCAGAAAGAAATAAAGGTTGTAAAAAATGACCCTGTAATCCCACAGACAGAAACAGAGGTGCTACACATTTTCATAAACATTTTACTTGCCTGACTGGTCTATAGATTTCCTTAACACCAATGAACTGGAGCTGTTCCATTATATCTGGAATACTTGCACATCGGGTGAGGTTGATTCTTGGGTAATAGAGCAGATATGACAGGCACATTTCATTCCTGGTGCTCAGACCACCCTGAAAATAGGATTTTTCTTTTAATCAAGATAGCATTGGAATCCCACAGATAAAAACACTGATTAGCATTTATATGCTAATGAAACGCGTATCAGGAGGCCCAATTCAACAAGTTTATCTTGCATATTAGGTTATCAAGTAGCAAGAAGTTATTACATAATTAATCACAAAATACACTGCAAGCTCAAGCAATAGCTCCCGAGCTGAAAAGATATCAGAAAGAGCAACAATAAAATGAGACTCCTACTATTTTGAAGAGCACTATCTGAGCAGTTCATGTTTATTTTCAGCTGTCTCCAAGGAACTTACATCTACCATGGTTCAGAAAAAAGGCTTCAAAGTGAAGCAGATGTATAAAAAATCTGGTAGGTTAATTAATCCGGTTAATAAGAAACTAAATGAGCTTTGCCTAGTAAAATGGAGGTTGGGATGGAATATGGGCTCTCCTTGTAAGTATGCATGCAGATAAACAGCATGAAAGAAAAGAGTTATTTAAGTTAACAGATAATGTTGACTCAACAACAAATGAGCACTAACTATAAAATAATTAATTAGAGTAAGATTTTTAGCTAGCAGAAGAAACAGACTCTTAAGCAGTCTTCCACTGAGAGCCATAGGGCAAACAACTGATTTAAAATTAATCTTGGTAAATATGGACAAGATTATGAGCTGCACGTTCCTAAATCCTCTGTGGGAATGGTTCCACAAATCTCACAGAACCATGGGAATAGGAATGGAGAAGACAAAACACACGAAGCAAGGGCCAAGAGCTAGTGTGGTCACTGCACAGGAAAACGGGACAAAACCTCAAAAGCCTTCATTCTCACCCTTTTGCTTTTCTTTATATACCTACTGCATGTGTCTACATGCAAGCCATGATTCAGGGAAAGGTATCTCTGTGCTCTCTGGATGCCAGGAACAGGTCTGCCTTGCCAAACAGAAACCCCTGAGGTCTCACCTCCTGCAGGTCTGGATCCAGCCCCTCCAGAGGAAGGGGATGCCTTGGCAAAGGCTGGGTGCTGGCAGCTACCTCCCTCCCACAAACACAGCGGGTCTGGCACCAGTCTCTGGTTTTGTAGCCAGTTGGCACAGTCCAGCTCATGTCCCAACAACCAAATTCACTTCACCTCCAAAAACAAGTGGCCACATCTCAATGGCCTGTGCCTGGTCTCTGCTAACTGAAAAAGCTGCATCTGGGAGACGGTGTGCTGCCGTGTGCCAAATCTGAGCCGGATCCCCTCAACCTCAAAGGGGATGCTCACCCCCTGGCCATGGCCCTGCCTTGTCCACTGCCGTGGACGTGCACCCCGGGCAGTGGTACAGCTGTTCCTCGTGCCTTGGCTGCCAGACCCCTCCTGTGCCATCACGGGGACTGCAACTCTTCGGGAGGGTCCCTGCCACTGGAAAACCCACTGCGTGTGAGGAAGGTAAGGCACAGAGGGTCCCTGCGCCCAGCCTCCTCCTCCCCGCCCAAAGGACCTGCCTTCTGCCTGGATTCTACATGAGGCACAAAGGCAAGTGGTCCCATCTTGGTCACGGTATAAGTCAAAATCAGTACGAAAGAACTGGTAATTACAGCTTGGCGGAAAAATGCGTAAGAAGTTCATAATAATAATTCATTAGAATATGCAGAATTTGCATGTTAATACATGTTATGAAGAAAGCACTCCTTATACTAGCAAAGTCTGATTTTTTTAAAGATCTTTTATGAGCTGACTTGCTTATTTTTATAAACTATGAATGCCTTATGCAAGAGATCAGACTATGGTCATAATAGTCCTGATGACTGACTTTAAAACCTAAGAATCTATGAAAGGAAAGATAATACGTAATTATGTGTACACAGGCATTAGTAAGTAAGTTCACACTTTTTAATAGTATTTTATGAAAAATATTCTAGTCCCCAATATTATCTGTGTACTTCTTTTGATCCATTAAAACTTTTCTTACCCATGTCATGCGAATTCGGTCCACAGTACTGTAGTGACATTCTGTGATTAAATTATCCCCCTGAAACACAAGATTTAGGAAGTTCACCATTCTAACGTTTATCAACATCAGCTTCAGGTAACCACAGATGACAGTAAACACTTGAGAAATAAAGATCAGAGCAGTGGATACAACTTTTGAAAGAGAAGAGGATTAAGTAATTGGTGTATGCTAAGGCCTTGGCACTTAGCATTCACATTATCCCAGATCCTCAGGGATCCCTCATGGAACTAAATGGAGTCTTATTAAGAGTCTTGTCTGTTTTTTTAAAATAGCACTGGAGGTGCCCAGTTATAATCCTAGTTTTAGGAAAATTATATATGTAGACGATGTATGCATATGATTCTTGCTCCAAAACTCATCCAGTGCTACTTTGGATAGCTTTCCCCAGGCCAATTTATCCTGCCAACTTCAACAGAAATACTTGCCAAACAAAGAAAAGAAGGTTTTCCACATCACAATAACAACTATTTATCTGCCAAGCCTGGAAGTAGAGGAGTGGCAGGCAAAGTCTTAACTACATTGACAGATATGTATGGGAAAGGCTGAAAACTTACCTTCTCAAGTACAATTAACTTTTTGCTATCTTGACAAACTGATCTACAGTTTGGTAGCACCTTCATTCCCTGTACCTAATCAAATACAAATCTCAAAATCACCATGAGAATCAAGTGGAAATAAAAATATTGAAGAACATAGCCAGACATCAAAAATATGATATTTTTGGACAACTTCATATCACAAGGATGCCAGAGGTTTATTTGCTTTGGTTCATTTTTTGGTATCATCATCTCCCCTTACCACCCATTGTATTACTCTTCCCTGAAAAAATCAGATCACCCTTCCAAGGTGGAGAATTTCTCCTTTCCTGCGGGCTGTCTCGTTGCCAGATCAATGCTAGCACTAGCTGTACTCCGGGCTGCTGGAAGAAGGTGCATCAGCCTCATGTCGGCCAAATGGAGATGGAGGTTTCTGAAGCAGCGTGAACTGGCACAGCTTTGCTGCTCCCAGCGGGAATACGCTGGTTCCCACCAGCGAGACCTCTGGGTCTTGTGGCTTACAGACTGGGTAACATTCACTAAAAATGCTCCTTCTGTGAGATTAGATCTTTTGCTTCCAAATTCAGAAGAGAGTGCTAGTACATGAAGAAAACAAATAATCAGGACTCCACAAGCCGAAAGAAGGATACACCGTTGGAAGAGCATGCAGAAGGAGAGAATAACAAGAACTTACATCAAAATTTTTAATATTATTAGTTAATTGATTAGACTGTGGCCCAAATTACACCAGATGATGTATGTAGAGCTGTACTGTTAGTTTTGCAGAAGATGAAAACAACAAAAGGTATGAAAAAGGCTCACTTCAGAGAAAGAATTCCAGCTTCTACTCGAGCTGTATTTTTTAAGTAAGTTGCTGATAGTATCAGATACTTTTTTTCAGTCTTTCTGCTGTCTACTCCCTTTTGTTCTTGAATTTTAAGAGGCCTTTCTCTATAATCTGCATGGATTTTCCTAAAAATGTTACAGGCTTTCTCTGCAAACCTGTCATCTTCTGCCAGCCCTCTTCCTAAACCCTTCAACACTTCTTTCCTGGAGGAGGTAACACCAGTTTGACTTTGAAGTCCCTGTGGAGTACAAGCAGTTCGACTTCAAAGGGTAAAAATGCTGCACCTGAACATCCAGGTTTTGCTGGAGAAATTAAATTAGAAAGTTAGCATTTTAGCTTCTTGCCTTTAAAGGACAAATATCAAAGTCTCCCAGAGTTGAAGAGATGTAAGAGAGAAAGGGACTTGAAGAGAAGCCTGGAAGTTTAAACTGTGGGGCTCCTGACTGTACTTCAAGTTCGGTTATTGCAATGGTCTTTTCAGCTCCTTTTCCCTTAGTGGCTCCATTCATAACAAAATCCAGTTGTTTGATATTTTGCATCTGACCAATTCCATCAAGTAATGGGCTTATTCACATGCACCAGGACAAGAACATCTCCAGCTGGCCAGATCTGCAGGACTCAACCTTTGCAGCACTAAACTTTCTGTCCTCAGGTGAAAGCTTCAAAAACAGATGCTGACTGGAACTAACAAAAGATGAATGAGTAATTTTTAAATGACTGACTCATCAAAAAAGATACAGACTCTTTTCATGCAATACCTATGGATAGCTACTGCTTTATAATATAATTGTAGTTGGGGTTTTTCTAAAAGTTATGTTATTCTCACAAGAATAGCAGATAGAATCACATGATTTCTTCTTCCAAAGGGTTTTGTTTACTAGTGAAACCTCACATGGAACATGAGCATGGAGTTTTACTCCCCAAAATACATAAAAAGGTGAAATGAATAGAAGACTGGGCTGATTTGTAGACATGTTTGCAAGGCTGGACCCTTGCTGTGTGCAAATATTCAGGATGTGCTACTTGGTTCCAACAGCTCCATAAAGCCATGCCGTGGCCTTTCCATTCTTCAGCTGGCCGGATGCACAAAGATGGTACAACCAAGCACACGTGTGACTTTGTAATCTGCTTTGTTCAAACATTTGTGATAGTAAAGTTCAAATCAAGTAACTGTGAACACCAAACACACCCAAAGAATAGCTTGAATTGGTGGGCCAAGCCAGTTCTGGAGTGAATTGGGTGGACACTCCTGAGACACTGCAACTTTAATGCATTAGTCACTCTGCGACAAGTGGAAAAATTAACAAAACATTCAAGAATGCTATGATTCTATGATAAGAAATTCTGTAGAAAAATTAATCCTAAATGTGAGTAAATGTTAGGCACACAATCTCTTAAACACTTTCAGGGAAAGAATTAAGAGTGTCATACTGGCAAGATGGTCCTTTCTTCTTTCAGATACTGAAACTCCTGGAAGTTGAAGTCAAACTCATCGTCATAAGCAAGCAGCTTCTGCTCCTCGCCGTTGTGGAAGTGGCGCATCCTGATTGCTCTGCCAGCAAGATGAGCATGAAGAAGTACCGCAAAGACGTGAATCCCAGCAGGTCTCTCAGCACCTAGAGCCTGGCCAGGGGAAACCAACACCATCAGTGTGCCCAGATGCAACATAATGTCAAGCAATGTACAAACAGAGTGAAAATATATTAATAAATGCATCTTACATTCCCTCAGCTTACAGCAAAATGCAGCCTGGAGCAAAAACAAATCTGTACATGAAATTAAATTTTTATATACAAAAAAGGCTAGGGTTTTTTTCTGTGATTTTTTTTAAATAAATGTTTTCACTCCTAAGGCACACAGTTTTTATGAAAATCAACTGGACTGCCAATAATTCTCAATAGTTTAAGACTTTCAAGGGAATTATACTAAAACCTGCACATTATTTTAGCATTACTGGTGGATACTGGTGAATGTGGATGTTTATTGTGAAACAGAATTTCTATGCAGTTATGAATTATATTACCATCAATATCATGCCAAGAGAACCACTTTAAATTAAGAGGCTGTAATTATAATATACTCTACTTTCCATCTTCAAGTCAATTGGTACTGAAATACTCTAAGATATATCTGAGACTTTTTTCTAGGTCAAAAACATTTTTAAATTAACTTCTGCAAATTGACGCAGATCTGACATCAGTGCCATTCTAGCTGAGACCTATGGATCCAAACTTTTGGTATGCTAAACCTTGACTGTTGTTCAGAGTCCAAACTAGAAACAATCTGTTATTGCAATACCTTTCAAGTACAGTCTTAAGGTCAGAAACCTCACAATAATAGATTACTCAAGTGCTTTTAGGCTGAAAAACGCTATGACAATATGCAACATTTAACACCACCAAGAACAAATCTAATTTGCCCTTCACTCTAAACCACATCATAACAAGCATTGATTCAACCTTTCTCTATAGATGAAAAAGTATGAGAGAATCTCCTGTAATACATTAATCACAGATTTTAGACAATGCTTCCATTATGTGTAGAGGTACTTAAATTATCTTAATGAAACCAAGTGTTTAATGAATGCACGATTCTGTACTTTGGGCCATACAACAAAACCTGTTTAGGTGTTTAGTTTCTGTGGCTGGTCTAACAATACCTTTCAGCCTTTCACTTCACTATTAGGAGCCTTTTGCACATGCACAGATCTTAATTATTCTTGCTCAACATTTTTTATGGGCTAGCTATTCCAGGCTATTACTTGTATCAGTAATGCAGTCTGAATACTGAGCACCCCAAATACCCAGATCAAAAAGACTGAACATTCTGGAGGGCAACATGTAGCAGATGCCTTTGCTCGTATGTCTTTAACCCATAACTATCAATCTTCCCAAGAAGTTAAAGTGGCTGTCCAAAACTATTTCTAAGAATGAAAACCAATGGATTCAGGCAGGAAACATACCTCTTCCAGACATTCCAGCGTGCAGTGACCCTCTGACACAAATTCAGGCATGCCTGGTGGGATATTGTGGAAGAGGCTGACCCAAAGACCAGCCTCAATAACCCCAGCATCGTATTTCCTTAAAACTGGAGTATAAATGAGCCTCAGACCAGAGTTATCTATCAAGCCTGCAACAAAAGAACAGTCAGCCATAGCTGTAAATCAGTATTTTAAAGAAACAAAAAAATCCAATTGTTTCACATTTTTCAAGGTTTGTCCTAAGTTTTCTACATGAAAATTGAGGAATCAACCTCAATAACCCGGAAATGAGTCAAAACATATGCAGGAAGTAATAAATAGGGGCAGCCCACAGGAGGGTTGTTAAACACGGTATCTGATTATCTGTGGTGTTTAAATGTGAATGAAAAATATGTGCTGTCCATAGCCCTCATGTCCCTTCTGCTAAGTTATCCAACACGGACCTCAGAGAAAAGAAGTTAGATCACAGGCAGAGCAAACAATACAAGGAAATAGTAAGACCTCAAAAGGTTGCATGTCTGATTTTCATATGAAACATTTAAAGCAGAGCTTAAAGTTGTTGTGTTGTTTTTCTTTAAAATTTTCAAGCCACTTGTGAATTTATCCATTCCTCATCTTGAACCCTAGCATTAATTATATTTTTCCTTTGTTTTGGATTGCCTTTCATATTACAGCATCCCTCAGATGACCAAATACATCCTTTTTACAATCTCCCCAATTAAGAAAGCATCAACTAAACATGAAAATTGGCTTCCTAAATCCCAAACTTGAAGGTAATACGAGCATCTTGAGAAAACTAGACAGAAGAACTACAGAGGATTTTAATCCTGCACTCACTCAAGGACTTCTCTGGAATTCAAAAAGCCTTTTAAAGAACCAAAGTCTGCTACAAAAAGGTTGAGTTTTTGAGAGTCAAAATTAAATTAATCTATTTTGTTCTCCTACATGTTTAGCCATACGTGTCTGTGTATCTATTCATAATTTATGTTGCCTCCATCATCTAAATGTTTATTTCTCTTCTATTAGCCATTTTGATTAGGCAAGATGTAAGCAAAAAACAAAGATTAATTTGTGTTGCACAAGCCCTACATTCTGTTAGTCCATCTGTTACCTTCTCACCTTCTGTCCCTTTTCAAATTTCAATTTTGAAAATTAAAAAAGCAAAAAACATACCAGGTATCTCAGAGAAGGTAAGAGGCTTCCTAGTGACCTATATTAGTGTTCTAGAAAAATGTAACAGACATAGCAGTGCCTGAAACCAAATTTTACATCAATATGAAATCAGTAGGCTATTTTAAGATAAGAAAATCAGACGGACAGAGCAGAGACTAAGTTACCCAGTCACTCAAATAGCTAAGACAGAGTAGTATATAATTATTAAGGAACAAAGGATATGAACGATGCATAGTTAATTAAGAGTGGTAATCAACTATGAGACGTTCTGCAGTACACAAATCATGACATTTTGGGTGATATATACTGTCGCACAACATCCCAAGTGTCTGGGAATCCACAGCCATTCCCTTTCTGAAGCTATTTGTACAATCTCATCAACTTGAATTTTTCCTTTATGGTATTTCCCCTTCAAGCTTGTTGCTAACATCTGAGTGCCAGAAATTTGTATGATATGTAAGAGTTTTTGCTAAACAATCTCAAAAGAGGCCATCTTTCTAATGAAAAGTGAACGCTAAGGATTTCAGCAACAGAAATATTCAAAACCAGCCATGTTAGGAGTAGTTCAAATATTTTTGACTCTAACTGGGAGCCAACGCTCCCAATCTGAGTCACTTAGGAAAACATTACCCTAGATCACAACGTGAGGCTAACAATGCAAACTTTAACTGCAAGACCCAAGCTGGGAAAATGCAGGTGCCGAAACACGAAAACGAAGGTGACCCGGTGGCAGGTTTGGTGCTGTCTCAGGAGGACTCACATGTCCCCACTCGAAGCAAATGGAGCATCCAGGTCTACTGCCTCACACTCCCAGCACAATCTTATACCATGTATTTGTCAGGGAGGAGAAAAACATGACCCAGATTACAGACACCCTGCTCTGCCTATACTGTCTGAATTCTCCCAGGTCTTTGGCAAGATCCAGTGTTGACCTGGGACTGTCCCAGCAAGGCAAAATTGTCCCCATTGCTTAAAAACATTATTGATTCCCAGTTTTTGTAAATGTCACTTGAACTAAAACAACAGCCTCATATAGCACCGTCGATTAAAATAAAATACTGAATTTCGGGACACAGCCAAGTTGGAAACAGGTTTTCTGCGTGCAGTTTCTCAGGCTTTCAGATAATATTTGATGAAAAAGTATGCAATATCAAGGATGCAAAGGAAGTTTACTGTATCCCAGGCAAATGTGCATGCTGAAGGGAGAGAGTCTGTCATTAAATAAAATAATTTTGAGATAGTTCATCTAGTACAACTACAACACAAAGAGGGGGAATAACAGTAAGACAGAACACCATAACCTACAGAAAGGATTTTATTTTAACACATGGGGGTGTAACCAAAGGCCAGTACACTGTACTGCACTGGATTTTACTCAGTTCATATACAGCAGTCACCAGAATATTCTCAGGTACAGTAGCTCAATAAACTTTTGTTTCAGAACAAAAAAGTGTCTTTCCAAAAGTCAGTTTCAAAGTTCCCTAGATTTTCTGGGGCTCTCTGGTTTCTTCCTTTTGCTTCTTCTAAATATAGATGAATTTTAGAAAGAAGATTAAAAAAACACCATTATAAATGAAAAGCTTATCTTTTAAGATAAACTGGTTTTACCCGGTGAATGGTCTAGGAACCTGAGTCCGTACTTTGCCTTCAGAAACTGCCCACAGTTCAGATAGATGTCTTAAAAAAAATACTAAAAAAGATTAACAAAAGGCTCATTCCCTGCGTTGCTCTCTCACAGTCTGGGTGCTGTGCTGCTCTCTCTCAGTCTGATTAGATTTCCCAGCAAAAGGAAAGGAGAGAGAGATAACATGAAGAATATAACGATAAAAGCAGATGTATTCACCTGGTCCACAATTCTTTGTATATCTGAATCTCCTGCTGACTTCAGGTTAAGCTTTTGAGTCCAGTGAGAAAAACACTGGGAACCAGGAACTATTGAGCAGGGAAAAATAAGACTCAGCTTTGTATTCGCTCCGTTTGCTGTGCAATGCAATGAGAAGCACTTGTACCTAGTACATTTTCCAATCTTGCATGTTTTAAAAAGTGTGAGGGTACAAACCTTCTGTGTATGATGGATTGTCATAATGCACCTCCATAAGAACAAACTGAGGGTCAGCTGCCGTGCCAATGGATAAGCCAACGTGAGAAGGGTAGGTGAAGCCCTGGAAATCAACACACGCGTACAGAGTTAAGGTATTTTTGCCATGGTTAAGAGTTACTTTCTTTTCATAAATACATAGAAATTTTTTTGCAACAATGCAACCATATTAACAATAAAACTTACAAAGGTAACTGCTTTTAAAACTTTCTGAACATGGCATTGTGGCGTAATAGATTTCTTATATATTCAATGCACTAAACAACTATGTCAGTATAAAATAGTAGATCCTATACTTGCTAGAGGATAAAACCCTAGGCAAACTGGTCTGACCTCACTGCTGACCCTGCTTTCAGTAGGAGGCTGGACTAGAGACTTCCTGGGGTCCCTTCTAACCTGCATTATCCTGTGATCTTATGATTATTTATCCTGTATTTATTGCTTGAGCGGAAAAGGAAAATTCCATTTTAAATGTATAAACATTGCATTATCAAGCAGTTAGTCTGACAATAAAACCCTTATGAAAAAGTGAATCGACATTTTAAAATGTTCCCAGTTTCTAAAAGCAGTAATTTCCAGGGAATACTGAGGTTGTATGTAATTAGATTGTTTTTTCTGCACAAATCACTGCACGCTAAGTAAAATGATTTGAACAACAAAGATGATGATCATGGTTACATTTACATTAGTAAGCCATGTAGTGCAAAAGAAATAGCTCTGTACAGTGGAACAGCTTGTGTTGGACCCACTGTCGCCAAAGGATGCTCCTTTTGACAAGCTCCAGTCAGATCCCATGCACTGAACCCCATTTATTGCTGGGAGGTGCTGGGTTCACCCCTGCACTTTCAGTTTAACTTCATCCCAAAGGGGGCTGTGCAAGTTCTCAAGCCACTCGTGATGATAAACAGAGCTTGGTGAGTGCGGATAACTGGGAGAGTTACTTAAAAGCTCACTCCTGATTCAAATTGAAATACCAGTATCTTCTAAAAGTGAACTCATTTACCAAATTTGCTTTTATAGGAATTAATCTGCATCATTTTAGAGTATATAGCTAGTATTTTAATACGCAATTTGAGATTCTAACTTTCTAACACATGCAATTTGAGATCTCAACTTTCTGATGCTTGATGGGCTTTAATGAAGTAATCGTAGTATATAGTAATAAATATTATCACCTCCACTCTACGTAAGGGTAAACTGAAGTAACTGAAGTGGGTACTCCAGTAAACCTGAATGTAACCCAGATCTGTCAGATTCCTCTCTACAGGTCTTTAACAACGGGATCAGCCCTGCAAAAGCCTCCATAGTGCTTGTCAAATGATAACTTATTTATATGAGTTTTTTATTTCGCTTAGATTAAGACATTTGAAAGTAGAAATACTAGGTCAGAGCATAGCTGATGGCGAAAATGCACAAAGCATACATCAGGGATAATGTTCACAGTGGATCTGACTTTTTTTGATGGGTCCGTGTAGCAGCTCTGGCTTCCTCACACTGCAGCACTGGAAGACGGTTTTGGACTGCAGGTTGGCAAACGAAGGCTCCAGAAACTCATCACCCCAGACCCTCTCTGTGCCCACACCATCATTTGTGTGGGCACACAGTGAATCAAGGGGGTAAAGAAGAGGTGAGATTCTTTTGGCAGTAATGCTGCCTTATGTCACCTGGAAGCATTAATTGCAGCCTAAATTAACGTATGAAATAAGCTGAAAACACAGCCTGGGGTCAACATGGCATCAAAGACTATGTTTTCTGTAGATATGCCCCATTGCCACGAGGAAAGTGGTCCTTGTGGTGGCTCTGCACCGACACAGGATCACTCCTACACTGAAATGATGTCTCTTTGGGCTGGGTGGGAAACTTCAGAATGATATGCCTGATTGGGGCAACACTTTAAGTAGGTCCTGGTGAGGCACATAATGAATTAAATCTATGTCTAACAATTTGGAAAGTCTTGCCTCCATGTCTTTTATGGAGTCACCTAGAGAGACTGCTCTTCTTCCTATCATTCCCCACAGGTGGCAGACACTGGTCATTGCTGGAGGCAGTGTAATTCCATATTAGATGGGACAAGCTGATACAGCAACAGACTACCATGCTCCCGAGCCACCTTTCTTCCCCTAAGGCATCAACTCTCTTTATCCTATTTTCACTACTTCTAGATTGTCACTCAGGATGATCATTGCATTTCACACTTAAAAGGCCAACAAGAAGTTGAGGACTTACTGGTGAGGCATTTAGGGATCGTTATTGTGTATCGTTAAAAACAGATTAACTAACGACTAATATACTAGGAAGAAGCTTCATTATGATACACAACCTCCTAAAGCCCCATTGATGAACCATGCTAGACAGCCATTCATCCTACCTCTCCTCCAATGGCCCAAGCAAAAATGACCGTCTCACATGTGAGAAAAGAGTCTGGCATGTTGGGGTGGTAACACTCATGCCCGTAGTCCAGCACACTGTCGTTCAAGTTGCTGCTGCACTGGTAGAGCAGGATATGGTGCACCAGATTCTCGTGGCCTTTCTGGATCAATGGCTCAACCTGTCAATGTTAAAATGAAAAAGAAAAAGAAAGAAAACACATCATTTCAGATGTGACTATTTCAATGCAGGTATGCAGACAGAACTAAAAATTATATGGTGCATTTATTTTAAAAGAGGAGACTTGACAATTATAGTTAGGTTGAGATGTTACTTCAGCAGTCTGCAATCCCAAGCATTGAAAACTTCATTGCCCAAGTGCATCAATGGGGGACAGGAAGAAAATTCTGTCTCAACGAAACTTCTGTTGCCATCTGTCTTGTTCTCTCTTCTCCTACCCCAGTCTTGCAGTCACTTGTCTTTCTCCCTGCCCAATCTCGTTTAGCCACATTCCAGCATGAAGGGGATATAAACCAGCTGAAAGTCTGTTCAGCTAAACCAGCTTGGTATCTGAACTACTCAGAACTTTTCACTCCTGTTTCTGCCTCTTTTGTACTATCTCAAACTACAGCTGCCCATAGATTCTGTACATCTAGGGTGAGCCTGGAGGTATACCCCACATTCCTCAGCAGCTCAAGATGGACTTTCAAATTTTTTTGACATCTACAAGAAATTAGAATTATTTTACAATCTGCTCAATTGTAAAGACTTTATTTAACATGAAGTCACTCCTGAGAGGTCGGGTACTCCAGCCTGTTTATGGCAGTGATGAGCTGGAGGGCACTCAGGGGTGCCCGGGTGCCCTCAGTATAATTTGACCACTGAATTTCAGGGTAGGCTGAAATGATTTCATTCCCACATAAGAGTGTTCATTCTCTATTTGGATGGATGGTGTTAAATCATCTCTGTCAGAGATGACATCCCTGGGGCAAACATGAATACTTTTGAAAAAAATTATTTTGCTTTTCAGAAGGATCATATTCCACAAAATGTCAGCATGTAGAAAACAGTATTACAATGAAAGGAGTTCTTCCCTTGCTTTTGCTTTCAAAGATTGCACCCCATTCTATCATATCTACCTTCAAGATGAATAAGATAAACGATGTTTTCACAATAAAAGTAAAGCTGTGGCAATGCAACTCTTAAGATGTAAGGTGCCAAGCAGTATTGCCTTTTAACATTGGGAAAGAGAGGTATTTTATACAGGCAACAAATGTATATACATCCTAACTTTGCTTCAATTTTTTTTGCAAGCACACGAACCCCAGCTACCAGAGGACCAGAACAGGGTAAGCAAGCATAGTTTATTACATTAATAAAATATTGTCAACACAGTATTGTTACCAGAAATTTATCTCTCTGCACTTTGTTCAAACCACTAAACCAATTACAAAAGAGGAAAGGCAGGAAGAAGCAACCAGAGCCTGTGCATATCAAGACCACCCTCATTGATATGAATCTGCAAAACACCATTGAAGTTGGGCTCTCGGGGAGTCCAGCTGCTGCTGAGTACCTGCATGTCTGTCCAAGAAGTGCACAACCCAAAACCACCCACTTCACTGCTCTTAGAAGTCAATGGAAGGATGCCAACTTACATGGATGCACCAAAGTTTTTTTCTGATGACAAGACTGAAATACTTCACAAGAGATCTTCTGTGCTGTTCTCAGTAATCCCTATCTCAGTTAGCATTACCATCATCATGAATTACTGTACTATGGAAGTAAAAGGTATTTTTGAAGGAGGCAACAGTCAGTTTTCCCATCAGATAGGAATTTACTCACAAATATATCAGACTGACTGATAAAGATTCAGAAATCCATTTCAGCTTGATGCTGCTTCTTCCTTTTGCTCCATCATATACCTACATATTTATCCAAACACTGCAGAACCAAAATACACTCATATCATGGCAGCTTATACATTAAATTTAGCAGTATATATCTCAAGAATGCTGAAGCTCCACATAATGTATAGGTTAGTCAGGGAAATGGTTATGGGAATATTATCGCTGTATCTACCAAGAAAAAGGAGTATTTTTGTCCCAACATGTGATAGTTCTGCCTGCTGCTACAAGATCCCAGCACCTGCTGTGCTTACCATCGCTATTTCAAAAACAGCTTCCCCTCAAAACAATGGGACATCACCAAAATTAGAAACTCACATCCTGTCATCGGTTTTTAGTGTCAGTTACCTAAACAATAACAGCACTTCAAAAAGTAGTTTTGTTCAGCTTTCTTTAGTGAAGAAAAAAAAAAATAAAACAAACCCTTAAGCATCTTTCCGATGCATCCTGTAGGACAACTTATATTCTTCAAATGAACAAATAAATAATGAAAAGCAGCAGTAAAGTTACATTTTTTACACACTTTTATTACAACTTGATTAAAGAGGTGCCACCTTTCTCTCTCTTCTTTTAAACAAACAGAGAAAAAAAGAAACTATTAGGAGTGGTCAAAAAATCTATTAACAAAAATCAGGAAAATCTCATTAATCAAAAATCGTTCATTTCCCAGAAATGTATGGAAAAATTTTAATGACCAGCTCCCGAAGGCTCACAACATCATTTCTGATTGAAACAAGAGAAGGAAGAGGAGCAGACCCCCTAGACACATTGGCTTCCCTTTCTCTGATCCGATGAATAGCAAACTGTAATTTACTTACTAGAATAACTTCAGCAGAAAATTAAAAAAATACCATCTCATTCTTTAGTGTAGTGATTAACTGCAGCAGGGATTTAAACATGTCATTCTACATCCCAGGTGAGTGCTGCCCTCTTTATTCAGCCATTTGTTATTTTAGCTTATAGAATAAGAAGTCGATTATTTAGGCTGCCTCCCTCTTCCTCTCTCACTTTCCACAAAGAGCAACTGTACATCTTAGTTTGCTCCAAGCTGAAAAGAAATTCAAAAACCTCATTTTTTTTTCAAATAAACAAAATTCTTGTTTTCTGGCCAGCCTTACAAACAACGATGAACAATGACCAAGTTTCTCAAATACAGGGCCAAATTCAGCAAATCACTAATGCATTTAAAAGTGCACACAAGTAGTCCCACGTGTAAAATTAGTTACTAGAGCAGGTATCTACAATTAAACATCTAGATCAGGGTGGCCTGGTTTCCAGAGTACTTGCGGTCTCAATGAATGATAACACAATTAGCAGGGCTCATCTCCCACAAGGTTAGTCCTGTTTTAACAGATCTTTATCAATCTTGATCCCTACCCATAGGCATTCATTTTTAAAACATGGACTGTTTAATGCACACATTCAAATTTTCCAGTTTTTTAATTTTTTTAAGCATGAAGTTTTTGGTTTTTTGACAGTCTTTAATCCCCAAATCACACAATGGAAAGCTAAGCTAAGCCAAAATCTACTTTTGCAGGTCTCCAGTCACCGTAATAGTGGACCAACCCTGAAAAGTCACCGTGACTGTCTTGTGAATTTGTCTCAGGAAACAGTGCAACTTTTAGAATACTTATGAAAAGATAATAATTTACTGTGGTAAATTAGGACAAGGGAGTGAAATACAGAAAAAAGTTATTAAAATAGGCATAGTACATAACAGTCAATAAACTCTGCAGATTTAACTGAACAATTCATTCTTATCTGGATACTTATTTATACACAGCCTTGTTCACTCTGTTCTCATAGTGTAAGGGGACTCTCAAATGACACTTTCAGCCACCAAGAACTGAGTAACATAGATAGATTGCAGTGAAAATGGGAATCCACCTTTCACTTTCAATAATTATGAGGAAACCTGTGATTTTGAAATGTAGTTCCTTCCCCTTTCCTTGCTAATTCCTACCCACCTCTTGTTAGCCAAGGGAGTCAAGAAAGAGGTTGAAAGGAAATATGAATATAAGTACCTATTTTTCCCCATTTTACCTCATTCTTTGAGGTTCATCTGTGGCGTTTTCACCGTTGCTGACATGCAAGGAAGACCCAGCTGTCAGGGTTCATCTCTTTGCCATGTTGTGAATAAGCCTGCAGAGATATTGCACCTCGGTGACTTCTTCCCCTGCAGGCAAAGTGCATTTTCTGCTTGACATTTCCCAACTGCCAGAGGCTCAGAGAACAAAAGCTTTATGTCCACCCTACATCAAAATGCTGAAAGCGTTGGGACTGCAAAATATAAGTGCATGCAACAAGACACAATCTCTCCTGCTTTTCATGAAACCTGCAGAAAGAAGCTCCTGTTTTATTATTCATGATGATTTGCTTTCTGCATCCTCTCTACCTTTCTTGAAAGCCTGGGCAAAAGACCTTTCTAACTGAGCACACTGACATATATGAACCTATCTGACTCCCACTAACAGAGGTAAAAAGTAATAGATGACTGGACGTGGCACTTAGTGCCATGGTCTAGTCGACATGGTGATGTTAGGGCAAAGGTTGGACTCGATGATCCCAGAGGTTTCTTCCAACCAAATCGATTCTGTGATTCTCTGATTCTGTGTGATATTATAATCCCACACCACATCAAATCAAGGTTTCCAAAGAAGCAGGTATTTAAAATACACCGCATTCAAATGCAAAATGAAGAGACTGCCTTCTGGAACCAAAAGTATGGGTTATGGTTATGGTTATGTGTTTGGTTAGCATGACCTGTACTTGTCAGGCAGATTGGGAGGTTTTACAGAGCGCCTTTCATCATACTGAATGTCGTAGCACTTCTGAAAACACTGACTTTCAAAGAATGTAAAATAACAAATTTTCAATTTATTATCAAGTTAAAGCAGATAATATGTGTGCTTTCCACCTGTTAATTTAAAAGAAGCCCTCTTCTCGTCAACAGGTTGACATCACACAAACAAAGAAAATGCTTACATCTGCCACTGCCCAGTTACTCAGCTTCAATTTTTCTCCCTCTTTTCTCTGTTTCCTATTATCCCTTTACCTATTGCACAAACTGAACATACCACATGTCATTGTTTCTTAAAAAAACAAGCCAAAATTGTAACATAATAAAGTTTTGCATCTCAAGCTGCTGATAAGCAAGGTCAAGATACTAATGTATGATGTATTAAACAGGATGAAAATGTGAACAGCTGAAATAGTCCAAGAAGTTAGACTCCCTACAAGGGAAAAATATCTCCAGAAACCTGGAAGTCTTTCTTGC